TTTTTTTTTTTTTAATTGTTGTTGTTCTCCCAGTGTCCCATAATAGGTACGTACCTCTAGGAAGTAGCATGAGTGGGAAAAAAAAGAAGTGAATAGCTACATAATGATGAGACTTTTTTCAGGGAAATAGTATGTTAAGTGATTCACATCCCACATCCAGTAGTTCAGTTAGGGTAGGTAATTTTAGGTGGCTGAGTCTTCCTTTTCAAATCATGTATGTCAATGGAATTTTGTTAAACAAAACATGAATAAATGATTAGTAGGTTAATTATTTACCAGCTGTACCAACCTGAAGAATTGCAAGGTTTTACATAATGTTTTTTAAAGGCTCTATTGAGATATAATTCATATACTTTATAATTCCTCCATCTAAAGTATATAATTCAGTGGCTTTTAGTGTATTCAGAGTTGTGCATACATTACCACAGTCAATTTTAGAATATTTTTATTATCCCAAAAAGGAATCCAGTATTCCTTAGCCATCATCTCCTAACTTCCCCATCCTCTCCAGTCCTAGGCAATCATGAATTTACTTTCTTTCTCTATAGATTTGCCTATTCTGGACGTTTCATATAAAGGGAATCATGTAGTATATGGGCCTTTGTGACAGGCTTCTTCCATTAAGTATTATATTTTCAAGGTTCTTTTATGTTGTAGCATGTATCAGTACTTTATTTCCAGAGAATACATTTTTGTTTTTGGTGGAACCTTCAAGTGCTGGACGCAATACACATTTGAATGGAAAAAGAACAGGAGAATAAAACAGAAAAATCTGCAGTCTAAAATGGCAGTTGCCAATATGGAAATGATTAACGTGACTTTTATTTTTTAAATTTGAAGTGTTGTAAACAACTCTGTGAAAGAGCTTTTTTTAAAACTGTTATAAAACCAGCTATGATAAATAAATAAGAGCATGCCGTTAGAAAATCTGCAAGAGGGAAAACATTTAGCAAATTCATGGGTTACATTTATTTTTATTTTTGTCACCTCAAAGTAAAGAACCTTAATTATTACTCATAAGAAATGAAAATATTAATTGAACTTAAGTTTACTGATTTGGAATTATGTATATTGAAATACAAACATTTTTTTTTTTTTGAGACAAGAGTCTCACTCTTTTGCCCGGGCTAGAGTGAGTGCCGTGGCGTTAGCCTAGCTCACAGCAACCTCAAACTCCTGGGCTCAAGTGATCCTCCTGCCTCAGCCTCCTGAGTAGCTGGGACTACAGGCATGCGCCACCATGCCCAGCTAATTTTTTCTATATAATTTTAGTTGTCCAATTAATTTCTTTCTATTTCTGGTAGAGACGGAGTCTCGCTCTTGCTCAGGCTGGTCTCGAACTCCTGAGCTCAAACAATCCGCCCACCTCAGCCTCCCAGAGAGCTAGGATTACAGGCTTGAGCCACCACGCCCGGCCAGGGTTTTATTTTTAAACATGTGATTTTTAATAGTGTTGTTTGACTTTTCTTACAGGTGATGGCATGAATGCTTACATGGCATATAGAGTAACAACAAAGGTGAGCCTCTTGCTCCTTTAAAAAAATATTAAGTATTTACTATGTGTGGTATGAGGATATGACGTTCATTAAGGGGGAAGTAATTCTTTTCTTCGTAAAGGTTACCATCTATTAAGGATTGCAAGAGGCGGTTAAAATGAGTTGTGAGTGGTTTGATACTTAAAAGTAGTGTGTTCTCTGAGAGTATTCAGGAAGGGACCTAATCTAAACCTGAGGGGTCAGGAAAGGGTTTTTGGGGAAAGTAGTATCTAAGCCATGACAAAGGAGCGCAAAGGGATCCGGGAAGGATGAGAAGGAAGGCGAAGAATGCTTGTTCTAGGCAAAGGGATTTACTTGTGCAAAAGACAAGAGTCAAGAAAGCATTGGACTTTCTAGGATGTGTAAGAAGTGATGCATGATTGAATTGTTTGGCCTTAAGCTTCTGTGAATTATGAACAGCCACATTAAGGAGTTTGAGCTTTATCCTAAGAATGATGGAGAGCCATTGAAGAGATTGAAACAAGAATGTAGCACAAATAGATTCTTGTTTTAGAAAGATCTCCTTGGCTTCAATATGAATAGGAAGGATAAAAGAGGTCAGAATTTCCAGTTAAGAGGCCACTGTAGGCCGGGCACGGTGGCTCACTCCTGTAATCCCAGCATTTTGGGAGGTGGAGACAGGAGGATCACTTGAGGCCTCAAGTCCAAAACCAGCCGGAGCAACGTAGCAAGACCCTGTCTCTACAAAAAATACAAAAATTAGCCAGGCGTGGTGGCACATGCCTGTAATCTCAGCTACTTGGGAGTTTGAGGTTGCAGTGAACTATGATGACACCACTGTACTCTACTTCAGGCAACAGAGCGAGGAAAAAAAAGAAAAAAAAAGAGGCCACTGCAATTATTAAAGGATTGTAGGGCTTCCAATGTTAAAGGAGAGAGAGAGAGAGTCTGTTGCAGCCATCCTAGCTCTGAGAAGTAATACTTTATACACTAAAGAAGTGGTTCTGGAGATGAGCAAAGTAAATGGCTTCTTGAGTTATGTAGGAGTTAGAATCAGCAGGACTTGGTTGTAAGGGGTGAGGAAGGAGAGGGATGCTTAAGTTATTGACTAAAGGAACTTTGTAGTTGGGAAAGTGATACAATGGAGAAAGGCAACATGGGGAGGAACACAGGATAGGGTGGTATTTGTTAATTCATTGGACAAATATTTATTAAATACCTACTGTGGTGTCAGACTCTGTTGCAAGCACTGAGGTATAGTAGTAAACAATACAGATAACTTATTTTCCAGCAGGGGAAAATACGGTGAATTTGAAGAGCCCAGGAGATTAAGTGGGGGTATCCCTTGGACGTTTGGATATATTGGACTGAACTTCAGAAGGAGATCTAGGCCAGAAGTAAAGATTTAAAAATTATTAGCATAGAGTGGATGAGATGAGTCAAGGATAGAATAAAGCAATTATTTTCTGTCCTCTTAGGTTCTATAAAAAACGTCTATGATTTAGGTTTTTCTTAGAAATCTACGTACCATGTTAGTTAGATACTTGGCATTCTTTTGCAAAGTAGATAACATCTATGTGTTCACAATTATGTATAACATTAACTTCTAATGTTCAAAATTTCAAGTACGTCTTCTTCACTTGTAGACTTCTCTTTCCATGTTCAGTAAGAGTGAATTTTCAGTGAAAAGAAGATTCAGTGACTTTCTTGGTTTGCACAGCAAATTAGCAAGCAAGTATTTACATGTCGGTTATATTGTGCCACCAGCTCCAGAAAAGAGTATAGTAGGTAAGCACAAGTTTTTAAAAAATTAACATTTATTACTGTTACTAGTTCAATTTTAACTGTATGGACTTGTGGATTCCATAATCATTCACTGTCACCATTTCACAATGTCTAGAGATACTGAGTTTAAGTATCCCATTTATGTTAATTATGCATTGCTTGAAGAACATATAGCTAACAGTTTTATTTTCTAACATCGAAGGATTTTGATTTATGTAATATTGTGATGTTAAATATTGGGTTGAAATTTACCAAGTTCAAAGCAATTGGAAACCCTAACCTTTTAGGGTCATTAGAATACCGTTTTACTGAGTCACATTCAGCGAATACTTCATATTATTAATATAGTAACATTTTTCTAAGGGATGGAGGTGTTTGACCCTCAGCTGTACATTGTCTGAAAGGAAAATTGGATCTAGCCTCATCTCACATAAAACCTATTTAAATTCATCTTAGTTTATTTCATACCTCAGTTTAATGTTTAAACACATTTCTACTTGTACAAGCAATAAAGGCTGAGTTAAAAGAAAATGCAGAAAATTACAATAGAGTAAGAAAACTTTCATTGTCTCACCATTAAAAGACATCTCTCATCTCTTAAAATTTTGTAGTATTTTTTTCAATCTTTTTTAGTCATTGGTTTTTATTTACCTTACTTTACTTTTCTTAATACTTAGATTATTATTCTGAGAGATATTTAAGATAAATTTTGCTAATTTTTAAATTGTTTTTACTTTTTTAAACATTTGGTTTGAGAAGCAATTTTGTTGGTACGTGTTATGCTTTTGAAACCTAATGTATTTAGATCAGTTTATTCTTTTTTTAAATTCAAAAAT